TATTTTTGGCCTTGGAACCACTGAAATCCAAAGAATTTTCAGTGGTAAAAACCCTATTTTGAGGGCCCAAATAGGAGAGGGTGGTCCCCTATTCTCTTGTCTTGCTTGCTAGTATTGATGGCCAACCAAATGAGCATGTGTTTTTACTTCTGTATGGCTTTGTTTAGGCTCATTTTTGTGACTTATTAGACCTACCATAACTCTATTTTTGGCTGTCTTGGTCACCTCTTGCATGCTTATTGCACTTGTAGTGTAAATCCTCTTTGCTTACCTTGTTAGCCTTACAAAGTAGCATGCTTTTGTGGTTTGAATTAGCTTAGTTCAAGCTTGTATTTGGGGTTATTTTGCTGTGGCATACCTCTATTTTTACTTGGTTTTGTCACTCCATGCATGCATAATACACTTGTAGTGTAAATCACACAAACTAGTCTTGTATGCTTCATGAAGTAGCATGTCATTCCAGCTTGTTTTGTCTCCATTTCAGTAGGTTTTTGGTGTTGTTTTAGCATACCATGACTCTGTTTTGGGTGGGTTTTATGGCCCCTTGCATGCTCCATACACTTGTAGTCTAATTCCATGAATTAGCCAAGTGTGTCTCATGCTTTAACATGTCATTCTAGCATGCTTTAGGCTTAACTTCAAGAAGCTTTTGTCCATGTTTTAGCATGCTCTAGCTCTAATTTGTGTTGTTTTGATCATGCATGACTTGCCTTGTATAGCTATGGTTTATTCTAGCTTGTAGGCTTTGTGCATTGAGTCTATTAGCATGTATTACTTGAAGTATTTTCATGATTTGGCATTATGTGAAATGTGATTCCAGTCCATGTTTCATGGTCACACACTTGCATTTATCACCTATTCCATGCTTTGGATAGTTTGTGTTTTATGCCTTAATATGAGTCATTGCGTATGCCTTCATGCCTAAGCTTGCAAGCTATCATTTCGATGTGTTTTTGAGGTTATTATGCCATGATATAACTCTGATTTTTATTGGTTAAGTCATCACATGCTTGGTCCTAATAGGTGTAGTGTAATCCACCTTGTTTGCCTTGCATTCATCATGCCTTATGCCCTTTATGCTAGCATGTTTTGGCTTCCTTCCCTGCATGTTTTAGACTCATTTTAACATATTTTAGGACCGTTTTGGATTGCCTTTGCCATATGCTTCATGTTTTGTATAGCTGTAGTGCAATTGGCCTTGCTAGCTTTGTGTTTTAATGACTCATGCATGCCATCTTTGAGCTATTTAGATGATTTGACATCATTTAATACTTCATTTCAGAGCTTATAGCATGACTATGTTCCCACTTCATTCATGCTTTGAATGCCTTTGAGTATTGTGCGTTGTTACCTTGTTTATGGCCTAGCTCGTATGCTCGCATGCCTAGGTCCTTGAGCCTCTATCTTAGTATGTTCTTGGTCTTATTTTGACCTGCCTTGGGACTATTTTGGTGGCCCTTGGCCCTTTGGGGCTAGCTTTGCATGGCCATGGTTTAAGTTACTTTGCTAGTTTCAAGCTTTGAGCCTTCTTGCATGCTATCCTTGTGTTATGTGAGTGGTTTGGCACCATTCCATGCATGATTTCAAGGCCTATATTATTGTCATACATCCATGCTTTTCATTCATTGCTCATGCTTGAGAGTTGTTGCCTTCATACCTTGTTTGCGAACCAAAGTGTATGCATGTTTGTATGTGCATTTCGTGCCATTGTTTCGTCATTATGGCCACTAATTTGGGCATGGCTGAGCTCTACCCATTTTGGTTTAAGTTCATTGAGCATTGTGTATGCCATGTAATTCATAACATTGTGTATGCTATGTAGTCCATTGCATTGTGTATGCCATATAGTTCATTGCATTTGTGTATGCCATGATCATTGCATTGCATATGCTAGTTGTCATTTAGCATTGTGTATGCTAGTTGTTGTTCTTAACATTGTGCATTGTGCATGCCATTAGCCTTGTTAGGTTGTTCATGTTGTTTGCATGTTTTGCATTGTGTTCAATCGGATGTCGTATTAAACACGAGGAAGATTGGTTCATTTCATACTTGAAGTGATGAAATGAGCCAATCATCTTTGGTCTCCATAGCCTTTGATTCCTTATAATAAGGGGATGGTCTAAGTGTCTTATTTGTCATGCATTTATTGAAATTCGTACAAGTTGGATCTTTGGCCATCATGCATCGAGATGCGTGATTGATGGTTTTGGATCCAACGGTGCCTCTCCCTTGATGTTTTGAGGTGATATGGAGTGGCATAGTACATACATACCCTTGGGAGACCCTCAATTTTCTCTATTTTGTGCTATGCTGCAGCTTGGTGTCACAGCACACCAGTGGCCGGCACCCTCCCACTTTTGGCCCGCAGATCTTCATTTGTGGCCGGTAGTATGCACTCTTGGTCAGTAGAGGGGTCGGCAGCATCTCCTCATAGCCGGCAGGCCACTGGTGCACTCCCCAACACTATTTTGATAAGTTCCAGCAGCAAGTTCTTGAAGACACCCTGTAAACAGAGCCTCAAGAGAGCAACCGGAAGGTGTTTCGAAACGAGAAACTGAGTGCGAGCATGCATCCTTTTCTTCTTCAAACAGAGCTGGTGCAGCTTAGTTTAATACTTACTTGTTAGTTAGCTTCAATTTGTAATTTAATTAGTTAATTTGTTAATTAATTAAGTGTTGTAATAATTAGTAAGTAGATTGCTTATTATTCAATTTGGTTGTGTAATAATTAATTAGCTTGTTAGTTAGTTGATTAGTTGGTTTGTATTATTTATTCAGACCCTCCGTCGAGAGGGCGAATTTTGTAATAAGGGTGCATGTGTGTGATGCATGTCTTCCAACCTCCATTGCTTTCTCCTTTTTACTTAACCGCTTTCGATGGTTAGTTTATGGTCATTTTCAATTAGCATACCTTATGCTTTGCATTCGTGCATCCATTCATCTGTATTGCATGCACCAGACTCGGCGCATCATACTAACTGCATTGTACTTTCAATACATTACTTGAATATGTGTTCAACAGCATGTTATCAAGTTGCATTTCATAAGCCATCTTAGAATAGCCGAGCCTACTTTAGATGCATTTTCGCATGTGTTACATTAGCCATCTTAACATGAACTAGGATCATGCATTGATTGCTAACTAGTTCTCTGTTTTGGCTCGAAGTACACTATGAGTGTTTATGCTTTAGCATACTGCATGTGTATTATTGTTGCCATGAAAGCATGTTTGCCATGAGGCTAACTACTTAAGTGTTTAACTGCCTGAATGCATGTGGGTGAAGGTTGGATTATTTGAATTGGAGCAATTCATTGAAATCTTCGATGTAGCCTACTTGCGAGTAGCAAACTTCAAACCGTTTTCAAACAAACAAATATGCAATGTTTTATTCCAACTTAGGCGATCTAGTCTATACTTGTATGATGTGCGCATCACATAGTAAGCTAGCTAATAAACCGGAATAAGAACACATGTGTTTTCAAAAACAACATATCATGTTAGTAAAGACCGATCTTTGATCAGGCGAGCGGGGGTGCTCATTGCATGACCTTCCCCTCTCCTACCCAAGTTCCCGAGCCGAGACAACTTTGGTGATGACGGACACGTGGCCTTAGGCACGAGTCAGGGTTTCCTAAATTCTCCCAAAATAAAATATTTAGGTAGCGAATCTGTATCTGGCAAAACAGTCTATCTTTGACACTTTTTTACAAAAATCAGTTTTCCAAAACGATTTGCTGGATTTGGACTCTTTGGTGATTTATCGGTCTTGCATTGAACTTTGTAAGATTAGATTCAGAACCATGACATTGAGTCCGAACTGTAGTAAGTCCAATGAACGAAAAGGGATTTCGTGCCCATTTTCACGCTCGGAGCCTGGGACGTTCAGGCGCTTCTACACCATCACTTGTGCCTTAGTCATGGTATGAAGCCCCTCCTAGACCACTGATAAGTCAAAACACACCTATGCCTACCATCGGCAGCATACACATTGGTCGGTCAGGGCAGACACAAGGAAATGGCATGCGAATGTTTTCAAATCCTATGTTTGAACCCATGCCTGGCACACGGGTGTTTACTAATCTTGTGTTCGAATACACTGCCGGAGGGTTGGAAGGAGTTCTTGCCGCTCGAAGAGAAACAACACATTCCTCTTCCAGTAGTTCCCTTCATAGCACCTTTCATAGGACAAATGCCTGGCCTAAGAGGGCAACCATTCCCTCAACATCAACCAGTACAACAAGAGCAGCCCATTCCTCAGGGACAACCAGTCCCAAATGTACTTTTACATGGATCAAGAGGGCCTCAAGCACAAGGAATTCCTCCAAATCCTGTGTTTGCTCCTCCAAAATTACATCATATACCAAATCTGATTAACAAGAAATCCCAATTAACACAACCATAAACGTTTTAAAATTATCCATTTGTTTGATCTGCTACCTCATTAGTTGTAAGAATTCTATCAAATATTTGTCTTTCACCAACAAAATCTTGTAAACACAATCTACCATTCTTATAGGCCTAAATTCCTTAAACTTTGAACAATACTATTATAATCATCCTATTTTCTTTTACAATATTTATTGACATCACTCCAATAAAAGACAAAATTCATAATGGAATGATTAAAGCAATGCAGTTATGACAAATTATAAAATAAACAAAATATGATGTAATGAAGGGGCTTCTACTTTTGGAATTTAATAATGCAACAATAAAGGCAGAATTGAAGCCTATTGGAGTAAAATTCAGCGATGAACTTAGCAAATATTCATTTATTATATTCTAAGCACTTTCCATAAAAAGGGCAGGCAAACCCATTAGGGTTTTGAGCGACAGTATTGCGGATAATAAAAAATAATAATAATAATCATAATCATAATAATATTAAAATTAAAAAACACCCTTGTGAATCATTCTACGCGATCATTCTACTTTATCAATATAGTTGAAGAAGCTGGGAATTATTAATAAATTAAAAATAAAAAAATAAAAAATCAGACCTAATGGACTGTTGCGGATCATTGATTCCTGAGTTTGCAGATCGCTTGAACAAAAGCGTAGAAAAGGAGAACAGCAGCAGCAGCAGGAAAGATCATCCAGCTGACAGGGAGAAACATAGTTGTGATCTCCAAGAACCAAATTGCTATTAATAGTAAACCAGCATAATCAATATAGAGCGCGAAACGTGGGGCGACAAGGCGCAAGATCACTGTAAAGAGCACGATCAAACCAATCGCCTCCTTGGCAACCTCAGGACTTTCTGTGTTACTCATGTTAGTGAATTGTGGCATTAGACAAAGTGTTAAGAGCTTTCAGTAATGGAGATGAGATGTGGAATTAGAAGAAGTGTTTAGAGCTTTCAGCAATGGAGATGAGATGTGAAACGGAGGATCGAGTGGTAATATGCTATGCGCCCCTGCGAAAATGGGGAAGTTCTCAGATGTAGTGTGAACATGAGAGAAGAAATTACGGGTATGTTTGGTTTGGCTTTGTAGAGTGATTTTGGGAAAAAAATTTTAAAATATTTATTTGGTTTGTAATTTTTTCAAAATTATTTTTTTCTCTTACACATCAATCAATTACTTTTTCTCTCTATCAATCACTTTTTCTCTATTCTCTCATTCTCAATCACTTTTTTTTCTCACAAATATCTACTCAATTATAACAAAATATCAAATTATTACAAACTCTCAAACTACTTTCAAAATACACAACTAAACAAACAAACAAAAATTTTAAACTATCTCTCCAAAATAATTTTTAAAAATTACTCTCTCAAAATTAAACTAACAATGTTAGGTAGCTCAAAATTTTGTGGATCAAATCACTCAAAACAACGTCGTTTTGACAGATTTTGAGTGTAAAACGACGTCGTTTTGACAGATTTGAGCCATCTGAACCACAAAATTTTGAGTTACCAAACATTTTCCAAATTAAACGAAACACACCCTACATCCCGCTTTAAAGTTTTTAATTTCATAGTAAATAATACATTTTATTAATAATTTTCAATTATTTTTTTTAAATAAAAAATTTTGACAAATAAAATTTGTAATTTTCTAAATCAGCAAAATAATCTATATTTTAAATAAATATCAGGAATTATATTTGTAATTTACATTAAAAAAAAACAAATAAATACATGAATGAAATAAAATAAAACAAAAATTCCTTTGAGCAATATTATGGCACTATGAGGAGACAACAAGGAATTAATGCAATAATTAGTTACAAGTCGGAAAAGGTTTTGAATAAGTTCGTGTAAGAAAAATTATTGGTTGATGTGATCTGCTCATCATGCTGCGCCTTTTATAAAAAATGACATCAAGTGAGACAATTGACTTACGAAAGGAATAAATTGTTAAAAAATATTACTTTAATAAAAAAATTAATTATTTAAAACTCTTAATTACAAGTGTTATTATAGTTCAAATTTTATCTAAAAATTTTTAAATCAATAAGACCTATTCAGTAAAATTGATAATAGTATTAATTTTTTCTTAATTTTTAAAATTAAGAACATTATCAATTTTGTATAGTAATGTTCCAGATAATTGTTTCACTAACTGATAAAAAAACGGAATATGGGATTAAACATTTTTTGCCGTTCTACTTATTGGTTTGATTCAACTATATAATAAAATCAAGAATATTATCAATTTTTTTTCTAATTTTAAAACTGAGAACATTATCAGTTTTTTCATTTTTAATTTTTTTTTTCAATTTTGTATATCAATGTTCCATCATTATACTCCTTTATAGACACAAAATTTTCAATTTTGCATAAAAAATTTTTTTTAATTTTTTCAAAAACATAATTTTTTTTTATAGTTTTTTCAATTTGAAAGTTGATGTTTTAAAATTTTTAAAATTAAATAAATGTCAAATCATCATGTTCATTTATAGAAAATCATAAATGATTGTGGGGACATAATTTTTGAATGACAAACACGTGGCCGAGGTGTCACCGAAGTGCCAGCCGAGGTGCCACGTGTTCTGGTCATGACGTCGAGATGGTCTCGGCTAGGCCGAGGTTATCTGCGAAGAAACCGGAATCCGGGATAAGCAGATAACGGACAAGAGTCTTAGAATGAGAGAGCACTTCAGTTTGCGTAAAGATAAGACTCTTAAAAAGTTTATCCCAATCCTACTGGGAGTCCAAGATTAATAGTAATCCTAAGTCCATTGAAGCTAGGCTTCTATTGGGACTAGGTTTGTATTGACTATAAAAGAGAGGCACTCTCATGGATCTAAGGTATGCTTTTTATGCTCTGAATAGTGAGTTAAACACTTTTGCTATCTTTGAAAGATAACTGACTTGATCGTCAGAGTGTCCCCGGGTGGACGAACTATCGCCGGAATCTCTTCATTTTATGACAGGTTGTTCGGGCTTAATTTATTCTGCCAGTGTTCTCCAGCTGAGTGCTTGATTGGCAGTGTGGTCAGAAATTGACAGACACAATTTGGCACCGTCTGTGGGAAAGAAATGAGAATAGATGGCTAACGACGGATAGAAAGAGAAGGTTGGGGACGACACCCCTACTGAGAGTGGGAAACATATTGACCTTGATGTCGAAGAAGACAACTGCAGCGAAGAGACTCGTGATAAGAATCACGGAGGAAAGAACGTCGGCCAAGAAGGCGACGTACCGAAGAAATCGGACCAGAGTGGGTATTATAACGAGGACGACCTCCAGGCATGGAAAGATAGATGATTATGGAGGGATGACGAGATGAAGGGAATGACGAACAAATTAGCAGGCCTGTAAACGGTCGTCAATTTCCTGATGCAGAACAACGTCATGCAACCACCGTTCCCGCTACAAGATACGCCGATTCCAGCGGCCAAGAAAGGTGCCCAGAAAGGGGGGTAGAAAACGGTTCTTGCAGTCCCTCAGCATGGCAGGACCAAGGGACATTCTCACCGGCCTTCGCGGGAGGTCAGGCATGGAGAATATTAGAAGACACGATCTCGCCCGAGATGATTAGGTCCGAGAAGAGAAGAGCTCAGTCTAAAGTGAACAGATCCCAGATTCCAAAAGACAAGATCTCAGCCTAGATGATTAAATCCGAGAAGAGAAAAACTCAGCCTAAGTTAAAGACTTTTTATATAAGGTCCACAAAGGAGGAGGTGGAAGCCATGCAGAGGGTTGGAGAATAATGCTTGGGAGTTGGAATTTTCAAGCCAAGATTGGTTTAACACTTGTTGAAATTTAAAAAAAAATTTACAAGTTGAAGTTAAACGGAGGACATGTTTAACACTTGTTGAAATTTAAAAAATTTACAAGTTGAAATTAAACCGAAGACATGTTTAACACTTGTTGAAATTTTAAAATTTTACAAGTTGAAGTTAAACCGAGGTCATATTTAACACTTGTTGAAATTTAAAAAAAAATTTACAAGTTGAAATTAAACTGAGAACATGTTTAACACTTGTTGAAATTTTAAAAATTTACAAATTGAACTTAAACCGATGTCATGTTTAACACTTGTTGAAATTTTAAGAAAAATTTACAAGTTGAAGTTAAACCGATGTCATGTTTAACACTTATTGAAATTTTAAGAAAAATTTACAAGTTGAAGTTAAATCGATGTTATGTTTAACACTTGCTGAAATTTTAAGAAAAATTTACAAGCTGAAGTTAAACCAGGGTCATGATTAAAGGAATGAATGATATAGGTTCCATCACCTCAAGATGCCGAGGTAATAGAACCTATGAGGCAGTTGTGGAGATATAATTTTTGAATGGCAAACACGTGGCTGAGGTGTCATCGAAGTGCCAGCCAAGGTGCCACATGTCCTGGTCATGACGCCGAGATGATCTCGGCTAGACCGAGGTTATCTGCGAAGAAACCAGAATCCGGGATAAGCAGACAAGGGACAGGAGTCTTAGAATGAGAGAGGACTTCAGTTTTGGTAAAGATAAGACTCTTAGAGAGTTTATCCCAATTCTACTGGGAGTTCAAGATTAGCAGTAATCCTAAGTCCATTGAAGTTAGGTTTCTATTGGGATTAGGTTTGTGTTGGCTATAAAAAAGAGGCATCCTTATGGGTCTAAAGTATGCTTTTTGTACTCTGAATAGTGAGTTAAGTACTTTTGTTATCTTTGAAAGATAACTGATTTGATCGTCAGAGTGCCTCCGGGTGGACGAACCACCGTCGGAATCTCTTCTTTTTGTGACAGGTCGTTCGGGGTTAATCTATTCTGCTAGTGTTCACTAGCTGAGTACTTGATTGGCAGTGTGGTCAGAAATTGATACACACAATGATGAATAATTATTGTTTGAAGGGCAATATTAAAAATTTAATGAGACTTGAAGGACCAAAAAATCTTAATTAAAACTTAATAGAATATAAATTCATAAATTAAGACTTATGTATAAATTTTCATATTAAAAAAAAAACACTCAACAACAACCACATTTGTTGGTTTGGTTTCGTTTTCAAAATTAATTTTTTTATATTATTTTATTTTAAAACTAAAACCTAATTTTGTCTAAAAAATGGAAAGAAAATAATAAAAAACGATAAAATATTTTTGTCCACGGTGGTGTTTGGCAAGTTGGGTTGGGGCTAAAATAGCCATAAAAGACAAAACAGGCTATTTTAGCCACAACAAACAAAACATCACATCCAACCCATAATCATTACACTCTTCTCTCACAAAAAAAATCAAAAAAGCCAAAAAACCCTTCCCAAACCAAACTTTTTAGCCCAGGCTAAAATAGCCAAAAAAGCTAAAAAGTCAAAAAGCCAACCCACTTCCCAAACGGAGGCATAATTTCATCTTTCTTCCAGCGAAAATAACTTTTGAAAATCGCACGGTGGTGGAAGAAGGAAAAAAGAAAGTTAATGATTATTCTGATGTACAACGTGAAAATTATTGCGGTAATAAAAGTCCCGCGTGGGTGTTAGAAAAAATAAATACATATTTATGAAAAAATTTAAAAAAGCACAAAAATAAAAAAAAAAATGGACTAAATAAACTAGTAAGATAAAATATCACATTCATACAATAATTATTTCACTTTTTCTTTTACAAAAAAAAAAAAAAAATCAAAAACAAAAAATTTTTAAATTCTTTTCAAATGAAAATAATTTAACCAAATTAAATTATCTAAAATATTAAAAAGTCTAGTTAAAAAAATTCTTCCCAAACTACCAGTAACTTTATAGTCACTATCGGTAACTTTATAGTCGCGATGAACCTGGAAAATGACAAGGTAAAACTTGTATTCAACCCAAATTCACTTTGGTTCGTTTGATTAATTTTTTTTAAATTAATTTTTTTATTTTTTGTATTGCTTTATTTTTAATAATTTTTTTAATATTTTAAGTAAATTTTTTATTTTTTAAATGCACATAATTTAAATACACCTAAAAAGTAAAAATATTTGTAAAAAACATATTTAAAAAATTTAATAAATACACAAAATATGAAAATATACTGATTCTTTGTATTTTTTTGTTTTTGATGAACT